CCACTGCATCAGTGCATCTGCACCTGTCTTGTCCACCTACCCAGACCAGAGCGAACAAGCCCACACATTCGGTCTTGTAACGAATCTCGAAACACTGTGCAAGGGGCTTTCCGATTCGAAACTTTGGGTATACCCTTCTTTTCCATTACATAGCAAGAATACGATCGCCTGTCACATAGCAGCCTCACCCGCCCCTGCTCGCCAACTAACCAACCCCAATTATTGCCATTGTGACATCTCTGGGTGGGTATCCACCACCCGACCAACCCCTCCCTTCCAAGATCCGAGGTTTGATCTCTCCATATAGATCTGCAGCAACGACAATTCTCGACTACTAGCCGCGTCGATACGAAGGGTTACGGTGGTTTCCAAAACCTCCGACGATAGGGCTGGAATGATGTTCGTACAAAGCAAAAACGAGCATCTTTAGTTTCAGAGTGTCGCGATCCTACGGACTTTCTCAATCATTTTTCTCGAAGCACCATTCAATTCACACACCCTCTCCCAACCCTGTTTCGACGGCCCGCCTAGTACGCTTACAGAAAAAGATGTGGGAATCCAATACAACCTCTTTCAGTCGGCCCCAAACAGAGGGTGAGACGAGACGAGGTCCTACCACTGGGGAAGGAGAAAAAAAAAATGTTACCTAGTGCTGGGATCTGCTTTTTCCTGTCGCATTGTCTGCTCGATGATTAGTAGCTTGTTCTGAGATTGTGGTCATCACCTCCTGCATAACGTCGATGGGCACGTCGAGGGACATGGGAGAAAGATTCAAGCCGTGAGTTTCGGAGTATTACAAACGATAACAGAATACAATTCGGAAGGAAGTGAAGATCGTTATTCTTGGATGTCGTCGCGATGGAGGCGATCGATGTATGCATGGGTTTGATCTATGCGTTCTGGGATGCTACCTACCTCTCTCGTTTTGCATAATGACGATAGGGAAGTCGTAATGTCGGAGCAAGCCGAATAGTCGATAAGCTACGATGGAGAGATATTCTTAGAGATAGAGATTCAAGCATAGAGTCACTAAACGAAATGAATGTGTTGATCCTGGACAATCATCTGCTGTAGGGCTGGAGCATAGGGCCCTGAGGTCGTTGCGTAGCATGTTGAACCGTGGCTTGCTTATCGGTGGATCACACATTACTCCATTTCGACGAGAGAGGAAAGTCTTGTGACGGTAGTCTGTCGTGGTGTATCATCGCTCGTGTTGTGGATTCGCAGAATGGGACACGCCATAAGCAGATCCTAATGGAGGTTGGAGGTCTGACACTTGGAGGTTCTTAGTGGGATTGTTGACACATACTTCTTGGTACGTGTAGTCAGGATTCACAATCTGCAGGCTAAAGGAAAGTAGTCCTTTCCTTTACAAGAGAGATGGAACAATAATTGAATTCATTATGGAATCGAAAGCTGGCAGGCATTTTCCAAGTTCCTGAGGGAGGAAGTTCGGATACAATCGTACAGGAAGGACGGATACAAACCCGACCTAGATACTTACCACTTTGGGCCCGCCCAGGAGATGCTCTGATTGGCCACAGCACTGGTGCTACAATTGCTTTTACTTTTTCTGACCCGAGGCTGCGCGTTCATTCGCGCTTCTCCCACCTCCACGTCTACGTCGTCCCATCTCCACCTCCACACAGACTCGCTCACCATACACACTGCACACTGTGCTCTACAGTACCTGAGACTGACCTTCGCTGGCATCGGAGAAGGCGCGTGTGGAAGGCAACTAGTCTCGTGCACTCGCTGCTTGACAGTCCCGTACAGTGGAGCTTCCACAGTGCGCCAGGTCTGCAAGTACCTTTCGATGTCTCCCCCCTCCCCTTCATGATGCCATGCCATGCAATGGAGATGGGCCATGCGTACGCATACATTGCATCCAAAGCAGCAGAGTCCGGACGCTGGGGCTATTCACATCTCACCACTAATCAGTATAAGCGTTTTGGCCTCTTATGGAAAACGCATGTCGATATTGCTACTGCCGCAGCATAGGAAGGTAGAGTGAGTACCTAATTACCTGGGTAGGTAGGTGACTATTACCTAGGTGGGTGGTTCTCTTTTTGGGTACATCTCTGCCCCAATAATCCAATAACCTGCGCCCCCATCGCCTAGCGCCCGCCTTCACACCCGCTCTGCATGCTGTATTGGAGAGGCATAGCAAACGCCTGAATGCTCAACGGAAACGAAATGATATCCTCCCCGCGAATTGTCTGCCGCCGGTGAACATGTACAATGGAGTTCACTGCCCGCTTCGTCCATCATGGAGTTGAGTTTCGTGACACGACCGCGCGAACTGCATCTAAACTTGCCAATTGCGCCCATTCTGCACGAGGCTGCTACATTCGGCGCGGGTAAGGCTCTGCACATCTCTGCTCCCGACCGTTTGCGATTGATTTGGGCCTGGGCAGGCATACGTGAGGGAAGGGTGAGGCATTAGCTCTGGCTCGTTCTTATCGATGTAACAAGGCTGTCCGGCATCTGCATGGCTTCCTCTAGCCACACCTCGGGACCATGCCGACTCTCCCATGGACTATCATGGACCTTGGACCATGACCTCCACCATCAACACCACCACCACCACCACCCACACACCCACCATCGTTGGTGGTCAGATCATCGTGGGCGGCGGTGCCACCCTAGCCCTGGCCCTGTCAGCCATGCAGAACTCCCCCCCTGCCGCGCTATCTGCTCAGCTGAAACGAGCAAATGCATTTGCTGCATTTTGCTGCATCCATCCAAGTGGATCACCATGCCGGGGTTAGGATGGTGGCAAGGGACCCCAGCAGAGCCAGCCTAGGCGTAGGCGCCAGGGACCATGTCTGAAGACCTTGAGGATTGTCACTCTGGTCACCTCTCCACCATCAAGCCGGTCCGGACGAGCATGGAATATTCGCTTAGCTTACAGTGAAAGTAACCTGAACTTTCACCTTTTTGGCGCCAACATCTGAATCAAAATCCTGCACAGGGCAACCGTTGAAGCGGCCCTACCAAACCCCGCCAAGCCCGCGGGCTTCTCACAGCAACTGGACTCGAGCATATAGTATAACACACGTACCTGTGTCTACTCCTTTGGATTTCACTACAGTTCCTCAAGCTCTTCCATTACTCCTCTTCAAATACATATCGAGCCTTCGCTACGTATATATCATTCTGTCCTCCTCCTCTCATCCATTCCGTCACCTTCTCCTCCACAAAGGTTTCGAATACATCCACCCACTGCCGCCCACTTATCTTGTCATCAACCTTCGCCTTACCTCTCTGCCATGAACTCCTCTATCAAGGTCGACCCCAATACCAACCCAACTTCTCAACCTCCAGCGGCACTACCCAAGTACCACAACCCATACACCAAGATGTCGTCGAGAAGAGCTATTGCCTGCACAATCTGCGCCAAAGCAAAGACGAAATGCGACAAGCTGGTTGGTGCCCCACGTCTGTCTGCCATGACAACATGCAAGTAGCTAACACTCATGTCAGGTACCATCTTGCTCCCGTTGCACAGCCAAGGGTCTCCAATGCGAGCCTCGCTCAACCAGGAGAACTTCAGACAACAGCTACCGCAACCCAAGGAAACACTTGGTGTCTCCCAAGAGGTATCCTACGACAAACTCCATCCCCAACATGAGCAGGCACAGCTCGCCAAGGAGCGTCCCAGACAGGCACCGCCTCGTCCGTGCCGTCTCACAGATGGACTTCCACCAAGCAGCCAAATTCGGCCAACACCGACCAGACTTTGCTACCATGTCCATGCTCACTCCCCTCCAAACCTACACCCCACACATCGTCGATGAATGCTATTCGTATTCAAGTAGTCCAGAGCAGAACATGTCCGCCTACACACAACCTCCCCTCGAGAAGAACAAGTACCTTAGTTCCGGACGCTTGACTCCGCAAACTCCGGAGTCCGTCGTCTACAACGAGCCAGTGAACATCATGGACCCCTTCGACCCTTACATGGACCAATCAACATGGACGCACGACGGGCAGATCCCCATTGGCCTTGGTTTCGGTGACGAAGTGCCTGGTCTCATGCCCAGCGATCAACTGTGGTCAGGATCTGAAGCAGACGTCGTCAACACAACCTCGATGGGATCGATGGGCACATTCGAGACACCGCTCTGTGGCTCACCGGGACCGATGAATGCTTGGCCCAACCAAGCCGTCTCCATGTCGCCTCCGCAGCTCCCTCACTCCCGCGCAGTCCCGGCACTCTCCATGAGCGAAAGCTCCGTGCATGACTTCGACTCGTCACCCAACAACAACCAGGACGAGTGGCCGACGTACATGGGCCACCAAGAGACATCCACACCGTACTTCGACAGCCTAAAGGCCATGTCAAAATCTCCACAAGTCTGGGATGACAACATGCTTCACACTGCTGCTTACTAGATGTGCTTTCGCCGATCTGGGGCACGCACTGCTCCGGCGTTGTGTCTCACCCTGCACGTCTGATCACGTTACTTTCGATTTCGGTATTGGGAGGATCTCGTCTCTTGTTTTCAAATAAATGTACTACGCGGTTGTAAACGACATTAGCTCTCTTATTGTTACGTCCTGCTTTTTTCAAAATACCCTTGTGCTGGGATTTGGTCTTTTCTTTTTCTTTTTCTCTTACTGCGAGGGCATCGCGCGGTCTTGGGTCATTTGCATAGGTACACTACACTACACTACTACGTCGTCGTCATGATCATCATCACCATCAATCATCATCATACTCGGGTATCATTATCATCGTCATGTCGACAGACCACGATCTGTCTTTTTTCTTTTTCGGAAAGGGATTCATGTAAACACGGCGTTGTCGCGCAACTTGGGAGTTCATTTTCGCAACAAAAACACATCACCGACAAGTCAGCGGTGTCGGTGTGAGATAGCCAACGTTCAAAGCAGATAGCAAAGTCAAATTATGTCTAATCACACACATTCTGTTCCCTCTTACTGTATCATCACCCTCATCGATCGATCGATCGAAAAGAAAAAGGTGCACAGTACTCCGCGTACATATTACCACTACTTCAATCCCCTTCCGTCCCCGACGTGCCTTATTCCTCTCCTCTTTCTCTCTCGCTCTCCCTCGTCTATTAATGCCCGAAGCCGCATTACCCTACGCTAACCCCCAACCGGCTAAGCACACCCTCCATCCCAACCAATCACCCCCCAGCATCCGCCCGGTCTAACCATCTGTAGACATTATCCACACATACCACCGCCGTCCTCCAACCTGCTGCTTTGCCCGAGACCGAACAGCCATTCTGTCAACATGACACTTTTCCCTCTCTCGGGGGTCGTCGCACGGCACGCACATGGCCGAAATACCACCTGCTGATTATCGATTCTTCGATGGTGAATTATAGGGTGGGTAATTCTAATTCCCTTGCCCTTCACAGTCACAGGGCGGGCGAACCATCCCATTCGCATTGTCGATAGACACACAGAACCAACAGGTACTCTACAGTGCAAAGTGTACCTATGTATTCGCACGAAGCAAGCAAAGTCGGCCGCCCTCCGCCCGCGCCCCGCGCATAGCCCTGCCCTCCCCTGCCCTACACGCAACGCACACACCCGCGCTGTGTGCTCGCATGACTCGAAGTGGACATCCTACCGCCTGGGATGGCATGGTGGGCGAGGCAAAAATAGAAATGCGGTGCGGTGCGATGCGGTACCTTGCGGTGGGGTGGGTAGCTACGCTGCTGTACCTGACTGACCTGGCATTACTGTGTACGGTATGTGCGTATATGGGAGGGAGATTTTCTATCGAGCTTCCCACTGCGGTTGTGCTATGCTGTGTGTGTTATGCGTGGGTGTGTAGGAAGTGGGTGAGTTCGTACGAGCTGCGAAGTTCGAACTGAGGGTAGGTATGGTATGTCTCGCTAGGCTAACCTCACACGACTATCTACAACTACGACTACAAGCTACATAGACGACTAAACCAACGACCACGGCGACCGCGACGTGACAATACAATGACGAAACCCACAATTAAATCAATGACATTCCAATTCAAGGTTACTCTTCATCTCAAACGCATAAAGTGCAGAAACTACCCCCACCACACACTACACACTACACGCGAACACGCATGCATGAAAGATCTAGTTCGATAAGTAGATAGATGCGATCGTCCGAAGCATTACGCCTACTTACGCTTCTACCTTCCTTCGATATCGCCACCACACTCTGATTCCAAGACGCTCGATTGTATTGGATTGTAGCTGTTGGGTTTTGGGGACGATGAATAATCAAACATGAGAAAGGAAGGGATCCGTGATGTGCGGCGGACAATGACGACGACGGGTTACAAAAGCTCCGTTGTTAGCTATTTTTTCCCTTGGAGGTGATGTTAGTGTTAGATTGGTGGTGCATGTGTGTGATATGCGGTGGAGTTGTTTTGAAGGTGGATGTACGAGGTTGGGAGAGCCTCAGGCGATGTGAGGCTCGTTCGGCGTGGGGAGCTGTGATGCAAGAGTGGTAGTGATGAGATGATCGTCTAGATGATGTACAGAAGTGGACTTCGCCAATTACTATTATCATTATTATTTATTTTATTCTTCTATTCTTTCTATCAACTCTGATTCCGGTTAATGCAGTTCCATACACTACTGTACTATGAACTCTTTTGTTTTCCCAATCGACTTGAGATGTTCCATCAACCCCACATCCCATTCGTTCCCAGCAACCACCTGAACTCTATACAACGATGTCGATTATATTCTTAGAAATTAGCCTGCACCTTCCCCCATCAACCCAAATCTTCTCTCAACGACGCAAATCGCCATCTGCGAATACGAAATATCCCCCACATCCCCTACCATCCCTCTCTCAACATCCAAGGCCCACAAATTGTCTAAAATAACCTCCCCCTTCCCCGGCACATCTCCACGTGCTTATCAGCCGCTTCCCCCTCCCACCACAGCACGCAACCACACGCCTTCGTATGTACGCACGCATCTACTATAAAACCCACATCACGATACGAACCAAAACACGCAGTTTTTCTCGCTCACCGCTGTCCTTTCCCCCCTCTGCAACTCCTAACTACCAAACCTACGGTATCGCGAACACGAGGAAACGAGAAGCTGAGGCTGAAAAGATCTACGCACCGCGTCGTCGCCGCGCATGCATCGTTTCCTTTCCTTTCACCCTTTCTCTCCCCACTCGGCAGTTCGGATCGCCACTGAATGAACAACCAGAGTCGTGCATGATGATACTGTTACTACTAATACTACTACACTACGAGGTACTATGAAGGTTGAGTCGATGCCAAGGATCGCTCGCCAACGCAGGATGCTGCTGGGGTACTGTCGTACTCGTGTTCGTAAAACCTACTGCACCCAACATGCCCACCTACGTATACACGTGCATACATACAGACGTACGTAACGTAACGCCTCCTGATATTCCAGCAACGTGAGGATTATCATGCAAGAAGTGCCTGGTGAAGACAATGTGCGTTTGGGAATGCTAAGTCAGGTGGAGGGGTGTGTGTTTGGCTACGGACGGAGTTGTGGGATATGGCCGGCCGAGTTGGGTGGGTTGGCGTGAGAGGAGAGAGAGAGGGAGAGAGCAGATCGATGACATGCTTGTTTGGGGATCGGGGATGGTGAGGGGATGAGTTGGGGAGAGGAGGAGAAGGAGGCAATCGAAACGAGGTTTGTCCGAGGGAATTGATCGAGCGAATGGTGATGGTGATGGTGATGGTGACGACGGTGGTGGTGGTGAAAGGAGGGGAAGGGGAGAGGACGGCGACGTCACATTGTGAATCAAGCACGGGTAGGTATTGGGTGTGCCTTGTGTTGTTGAGTGTTGTTTTATGTGTATGTATGTGTGTCTTGTGGATGTATGTATGTATCATACGTGTGTAAGTACCTAGGTATGTATGCGTGTGTTGGCACGAGTCCTGCCTTGCAAGGAACAATTAATGGATGCAAGAGGATGGATGTTTTACGTTTTTGCTGTATGTGTGTATGTATGATTGTGGTGGAGTTACATACTATGCCTAGGCAATGTACAATGTATACTGTGTAGTAGAAGTCCGCCGCTACGTTTCCAATCGCTCTCCACTGGGCTTCGGTGACGCACACATTTCGCTAAAGATGCAGCAGCGGATTGCAGATTCCACTTCCTCTTTTTCATTTGATTTAATACTGGGACTGCGATCCGACAGGACTCTGGAATCTGGATGCGGATGCGGGATGCGGATGCGTTGAAGATTACGACACTTCACACAGTACATTGATCCCACATCCATCTCCTACGTAGTAAGGTACACAGTAGAGCAGTATGTGTCCGTCCCAGCGCCTGGGTCGCTTGAAAATGTAAACTAGCCGGGGGTAACCGGGGGGCGGATGGGGTGCGCGCAATCTAGCCTTGTTTGGACCGAACAGACGACAGACGACAGGATGACAGAACAGCAACAAAACAAATCCATCTTTGCATGGCCCTGTCTTCTGTTCATGGATGATCATCGATGGACTGTCGTTGTTGTACCACATTGCGGTCCGTCCCCCTCATCCCTGCCTACCCGTCTTGACTATCCCAGTCCACACCCATCACCATCATCATCATCCTGGCTCTGTCCCTCGCAACCCCTGCAGCAAACCGCTCAGTCCTGGTCGCTTGCTCAGGGGATACCCATGCTGCATCTGCATGGAGCTGTAGGGGTCTGATTGGTAGAGGAGTCTACGGGACTAGGATCGGTGTTGGTGGGTTTATCCGGATTAGGGTTGGTCGGATCGGCTGGAGTGGTAAACACCTTATCCTGGGGTTTCCTTAGGAAACAAACCCTAGACAGTAGACATGTACCTTTATGTCTTCATCCTATTGGGGCAGTTGGAATTTGATTGACTGATTGATTAAATGAACTGGTTATCTGGTTGGTGATTGATTGTTTTCGCGGATTGGACCTGTTGGTCAAATCTTTCATGTATATGCAAATATTCCAACACGCTGGGTCAATCACGACTCTCCAACATTGCTTCCTAACCGTCTGGTTGCCTGAACCCCTCTGGGTCTTCTATTCTTGTAGAGAAAAATGGCATGATGATTTCTTGTACCGTCTGGCCGCAGCACCTGGCTTCGCTGATCTAATCCGTCTAGGTAACGCCCATCTACAAGCGTACCTTGAAGCTTGACGTCTGCGCCTCTCGTTCGTGTGTTCGTTCACCCTCTACTCAGTCGCACTGTACTGGCACGCACCATAAGGCGATTGATTACAGCGAGACTGCTCCCTCAAAATCGCATCGTATCGCATCGCAGACTCTGTCTCTATGGCAGTGCGAAGGAGCTATCGCAATCACAGCGCATCGCAGTGCGTCGGCACCCTGTGTCGAAGGAAGATGCATAGCTCGCGCGCAAAACATCATCATCCCTCACCCATTTCTCCTTACAAAACCCTTCTGCACCACGCCTCACAGTCTCCATCCCGTATAGAGGAGCACATGCAGAACGCCTCTCGATCATCACCCCCATCTCGACTCGTGCGTTCCCCAAAAGTAAGACATCCATACCTTACCCAGCAACGCGAAGTGGAGTAATGAGACGAGGGACCCTCCCCTTCCCCTCCCCACATGGTGCTTCCGCTGACATTAATTGATTGGAATCAGTTGGCATTATGAACCTGAACTAGGACTGGAATCAAGGGTCCTTCTCTCCACTACCCAGGCGTGCCAGTACGAGCAGGAGAAAACGGTTGGTGGATAAGCCTCCATAGGAAAATTGGACGAACGAGGCTCAGCCATGGAGGCGAAGGCGGGAGGGGAAGTGGAAAAAATAGGTTCACGCAGCACGCTGGGTGGTGGTGTTGTTCGCTGTAACTAGATGCCGACTGCGCATCGCGCCACGGCCCGCCCCTCCCTCCCCCTCCCAAACTGCTGTACCTCTCCACCAGCGTGCTTCCACTGAGCATAGTCCCTCAACTCCCCCATCCAATTACCTACATCCCTCGACCTATGCAGTCGTCGCGAACGGTCCGATTACACGGTTTGCGGGACGGAAACATCTCAAGATACAAGGCAGCTCAATGGCAATGGTCGCTGTGCCGCTCTTCGCCCCTCATGTCGTCTTCTACGCCGCCGGCAGATTTCAATAAAATGTTTTGTGAATCGCCCCAGCATTAGCTGTTTACGCTAAGTCATAACCTGCGCGCCGCAAGCGCTTGCCTAGTTACTTTGGATGCAACGTGATGGCCGAGAAGCGATTGATTGCGATGGATCGAGCACCAGACTGTACCACCCAGTGTATGATGCCCAGTACGGGGTGCGATGTGCAGTGCGGTGCCTGGTGTGTTGCGAGGTGATGGACTGGGCCAAGGCCAGCCTCAGACTTGAGCAAATATCAGAGACATTGTGCCACTCAACACGAGAGCGGCGTACGAGAGCAGGCAGATAGAGAGAGAGAGAAGGTCATAGGTGCCGTGCAGTAGAGGCAGAGTGTGCCTTTCCCACCAGCCATAATCATTTGGAAACGTCTAGCCATCACTCAATGGTCACCTGGCTTGGGCGCATCTTATCCAGACTGGGTATACCGGTTCCTTCTCCCTCACAATGTCTCTCCCTACAATGGATGCGATGACAGTGAAAGGTACCTCGGCGATGGTGTTGGTGGTGGAACTGCTGGTGGTGGGAGGCAAGCTACAATTCATCACCCTCTCCACAGAATCCTTTCTCACGTATGACAAGCTGTCAGCCACGAGTCTAGTTTTTCTCTAGCTCCCTCTCAACGCCTGGTTCCCTAGTTCTCGCGTGTTCTTGTCAGGATGTTGGATTCCAAAGGGTGGTATATCCCGCTTCCTCTTTCCTATTTCTCTTCTCACCACGTGCTGGTGCGCGGTGCAGGGCGAAATGGAAGACGAGGAGAAGAGCCACCACCAATGGCCTCGCCCCGCTTCGTCGAAGAGAAAATCCTGGATTGGATCGTTTCATGAATACCTCAAGAACGTTAGATCCATCAAGCCAGTGAGATCAGATACGGTGGACATGGGCCATGGCAAGTACTTCGGCGAATTGTTGATCGTGGGAGTTGGCGGCGCTGGTCATGAATCATTGCAAGTTAGATACAACCGACCGTAACGACAGGCAAACAGGCAAAGCGGATGGTCCCGCCAAAATGTTTCGAACGAACTAAGACTAAAAGTTTTACCTCAAGCCCAAGGCATTTTTCTTCATCGTGAACTCGGATTGGCCTATTACTATCACAAGTTGCTTCACTAGTCCTCCCATTTGCCTCAATTCGCAAATGATGTTTTGGACCCAGCTTCTCGCACGCAGCGATCCGACATCTTAGTCCACATCCACCCTCTTCCCTTGAGACCCTCCAGACAGGGAACAAGGTGGGGATGGATTCTCGCGCGCCTTACTATCAGGAATCAAAACCGTTCAAGCTTAAATCCTTTCCAGGGCGATGCTCAAGTCACGCGATTTTCCACCTCACAGTGCTGGATTTTTGCTGACCATGACCCTGTCCGTACCATGACTACGACCCTGAATCTGACCATCTTCTTGCTCACGCTCGGCAATGTTGGACAAGATCTATCTCACCCACCTCCTTACCTGATCAAGATTATTGCCTCATCAGGTACGTAGGCAATAGACCCTCGATCGGTAACATGATTGGACGATGCTCCAAATCTCGCGAGGCTTGTACATGTACATACAGTAAGACCCCCAATCAATCTAGACTTCAATGGTACGAACTGTCTGTATGGGGTATGGCTGATACTGCAAGTCAGCCTCCCCATGTGTGCACGGTCTTCACAAAATACTCCATAGGGATAGGATAGCGAGCACGGGCAGAACAGGTGTGGATGTGCGTCCCATATACCGAACCGTCCTCGCAATTAATCAACGAATGGCCCTTCAACTAACTAGGTAAGCCATCGGCAGCTATTGTAAGTATCCTACCGGCTGTGTAGTAGTAAGTGTACACAGACCTGATCTTTGACGGGAAGGATGGATCTTGTGCAATGATGGCGTATCCGCAAGATCCGCTTTAGTAGAAAAGCCAACAACATAGTTATTGACCCCCAAACCTTTCGATAGTCCCATATGGCTATTATTACCTGCAAAAATCAACCTGCCGAACGAGCGATGGAATGATTAGCATACACCCCAAGACCCAGTCCCAGTTCACGATTTGTGGCTGACATGAATCTAACCGAACTCAGAAACTACTTTGACGCCCTCCTCCCCCGACCCCCTGTTCCGACTCCACCTCCACCTCCACTCGACCAGAGAGAAACATGATAGATGCTGTCGTAGGGCTACGCCAGTGTTCCCATGAGGTGGCGGAACGTGGGACCTTTCCGCTCCTACTCCCCCCGAGTACCTCATCCTGCCGATATGGGCCGTCCTTAAAATATGTTTCGGGTACGTACCAAGAGACTAAAGAACTGCTTGGAGAGGGATCAGCACGCCATGGTAGCCTTTCGATAATCGGCAAGGTACGTCCTGCATTCCGAAAACATGCGTCTGTAGAATAGTCCCCGAGAGCACTAGAAGAAAACGTCCGTCAAGTGCTCAGAGCCCTTCTCACATGCCAGTCCCATTCACTATACTGTGCATGCATACCTACCTAGCTACCTACCTATCTACACAGAGCAGTTCAATCCTACAAACCCTTTTTCGAAACTTCCCTGCATGCAGGAACAGTGCAAACATTGTCATTGCGTTGCTTTCCCCAGCCTCGCATCATTTATTTTCGACACCCTCCTACCCCATTCTGCATCTCCAACATTGACCCTGGGGATCCCTTCAACACGTTGACCAACCCCTGCCCAGACCCTGTAAATCAGCTGTACGTACATACACCACAACGAGGCTAAGTCTATTCTCACTGCTTCTGTTCCTCCAACCCAAAATCATTCCCTGTAATGCTCCTTCCATTCTTCCTTCCTCGCAGCTAAGGCCCAAAAAGCGAGATTCGCTTGGCGGGGGAATAAGAGTGGCTCAGACAGAGTATGACCATTGGGTCGGACGCTTTGTTTCAGGTCCTACACAAGCACTCGGATACGAGCACTGTGAGTTCGAAACAAACCATAAGAGCCAAAATTCTCGCCTAGAGATGCTCGAGGCGTAGGGGCCTGACCGGACTCTCACCCAGCAGCTCTGCAAAAGCAAACACCCGCAGGTAAGCTGTTGTACGGTAAACGGTCGCTCTCGCACTGTGAAGAACGAGGTCAAGTGGCTTGCGAGCGTGCGTACGTGCGTGCGTGTAGAACAGGATTGAGGGATCGATGCTGCAAGGTACCGCATGTTCGTATAGTCTGTGGGTTGGAAATCTCACGCTCGTTTCTGGGTGAGTCGTTCTGGGACTGTTGATTGTTTTGGCCTCGGCCACGAACCAAATGTGGGATGGCGATAAGTGGACTGGGCCTTGGGCCTTAGCACCGAGTATCGCCATGAAATCCTCTCTGCGAACAAAATCAAAAAACGAAATCAAAGACATTGAATTCAGAGTTTTCGTTTCGCCACTGTATTGGCTTACTCGGTGTATGGCATGCATGGTTGATTGGTGGATCATCACTGTTTTGGCCCTCGTACGAAGAACCTCGATGTCGACGACTAATGTACAAACCCACATGATTTACACAACTAGACATTCGCGATATCGCCATGGCCGGAAAGAGAAAGAAACCTGAGGTCCTTAGTATTACCCCATCTGATCACCCACAGTCTAGATTTCTTCCTCTGATAGCGACCCGAGTCCTGGGTCGGGCGTATGTACCTCCAACCTGACAGCCAGCCTGCATGCGCACGCAAAGACCTAGATGACCAACCTTCTGTACCCAGCCAACCCACTTGGCAACCAGCAGATTACTCTATGGGAGGATTCCCCAATTGGGACGATCTTGAAACGTTCTCTGACTTTTCCCAATACTACGTACGATGTACGGTCAGACCGACCGTTGTTCACCTACCGTACACACAGCATCCGCCCCTACCACTCCCCTCCCTCCCTGTCCTCTCTCCTCGCGTGTATGTATGTACCTGGATTCACGTCCCTCGCCCGGACGATTTTGGTCCCTTCCGCCCTGAAAGCGAGGCCTCCAGCTTGAAACAAATCCTCCCTCAACCGTAATCGTAACCGTAACCGTAGAAACACAAGGTTCCTTCGGTAGGCACCCGAGCACAAACGAAGAAACGAAAGGCCCTTCCCCCACAATCTGCAGGCTTTTCCATAGCCACACACACCCACCCTGGCTTTGTCGAAAATAAACACCCCAAACCGTAAGGGTTGGAAGGGACGGTCGTATCCTTGCCCGGCCGAGTACGCGGGACTGGCCGAGTGAGTGAATGGATGGAGGAAAGCATGCAGGTACAGTATCTCGTCTGTCTATCTACCATCCCCATGTATGTGCATCCATACAAACGATCAAACCAACCCCATCCATCTATCACGAAAAGTTCCCTCTGCATGAAGAATGAAACTCCCAATGCATCATTACCAAGTCAAATAAGGAAACTCTCAAACGAGTATCTATCACCACTGTGTGTCCTTCGTGACCTTTCGCCACTACAATCAACTACCTCGGCCAGATAATGTATTTAGCATCCATCCATCCATCCATCTATCCAATTACAACCTGCATATCTTCGTGACAATTCAAGTATTGCAATATCCCACTTTCCCCTCCACTTTCCCTTTTCGACACGCGGCTTCGCCACCGAGGTGTTTCGCAAGCGTACCGGAGACACCGACCGACATATCTAGACCTATAGAAAAATAGTCGAGATTAAAGATGGCGCAAATGGTGCTGGTGGGGGGAGAGAGGGGGGAGGTTGTAGTGTGTGTGTGTATGTTTTGGGGTTAGTGTTCGGTGTTGGTCATTCGGAGTGTTTCATGCGTGACTGTGTGAGAGAATGTACAGTACTGGTGATTTGATGATTAGGGACCTGATTTTCCGGATTGGGGAGTTTCTGGTTTGGGGTTTTTGTGTATCTGTGTGGGTGGTTGATGGTGTGGTGCTGGTAGATGCGACGCGGGTGTGGGGGGACATGGGATGCGTCAAGGGTGGTGCAGCGTGTGTATGTACGTACTTGGGCATGAGGCATTAGGTGCCTCAGTACTACCTTCAGTTTTCTGTTAGATAGCCATCGCGTTGCAGGTGTCGTACTAGACGATCGTTCGACGTGTCAATGTGGGTGGCGAGAGGTGGGTTGGATGGATGGCATCGTGGTCGAAACGAGCAACCTATTGTGGGAAATTATGCTTCTTAGTTGTCTATGCAATATCGAGATTAGGATCTCCAGTGACATTTGGCATGAATTACCCTGCGTTAGTTAACAAAGCGTTGCTCTCGCGGAATTTAATTGCTATAGTCGTAGGTTAACTTAGCGCGTCCGAAAGTATGGCGCAACAGTGCGATGTTATGGACCCTTATTGAACCCTTGAACCCTTTATTCCTTAATTAAACTAATTCAAAAGTATCCAAAATTAGTATTGTTAGCTTTATCGCCATTTCAATCTAGTTTGTGGGGATTTACCTTCATTTTAGTTGCTGATCACGGACGATTTGTAATTGCTCATGCAGATGTCGATGTACATTTCGTACAGACACAGGGTCTAAATTCAGAAAAGACCTCGCTAGGAAGGTTAAACAGGGGTGATACATCTCTTTATCGCGGTTTCTATGCTCTTTGCGGGAAATTATGGGAAGTCGATGCTACTTACCTTTGGTGCTGCATCTGGTAAACTTCCACACTCAGGTGCAAATACCATTTCAGTCGACGTATGCCATGACCTAATAACTGAAAGCCTCTTAGGCACATTTGGATATTGACTCATCCAATTACAATTCTTGCGATATTTGAGTAACGTCGATTTCCATGATTGACATAGCTCTGAATCAAGTCCAACGATTTCACTATACGTGAACCAACAGACATGCGATACACACCACATCATACCAACGCTTTCAACTTATCAATTCCCATCCAATACCATACCCTCTTCTAACACATCTCACATTCTCAAAAGACTGTTCCGCAGTAAGACCATACAAAACTCCACATGAAGTGCCAATAAACCCAGCGTCTTTACCCATTTAGTTCTAGCCCCAAAGCCTACCACTCAACGTCATCTCATCAACAACCACCACGCTAACCTCACTATCAACCATCATCTATCAATTGAATCAATCAAGAAAAACATCAAGCTCCCCAAGAACATTCATGTCATAAAACCCCACCCCAATCACCAAATGCACTCCCCCTAAACCCCTCAAACAGCCAACCACATCATCTCATCTCCCTCCGAACATCGCTCGCTCCCCAGAAAATGCTCTCACGTGCTATCCCAGCACCACGCATCACCCACACAGGCGCTCGCTTCTTCTCTCACAGCACACGACGCAGCGCCGACTTCACGCACGCGGTCATCGGCGGCGGTGTGGTAGGGTTGGCGGTGGCGCGGCAGCTGCAGTCGCGGGGGGATGGGTCGTCGACGGTGCTGATTGAGCGGCATGGGGCAGTGGGGACGGAGACGAGTTCGAGGAACTCTGAGGTACGTGAATGCGTTTTGTTCTGTGTTTTTTTTTTGTTTTCTTGTGTGGAAGTGTAAGGGGATGTTCGGGGGGTTCAAGACATTGTGATTGTGATGTGCGGGAAGCGAAAGGGGAGGAAGAGATAGTGGGAAAAGAGATATCAATATAAAAAGGAAGAATGGGATATGCTAGCAACTTCAAAATCTACCACCATCACCCCCCAAACTCCACACTTCATCCCTCTTCAAAACCCCCCTCTACGCCCACACAATCCCCATCCCCATTCACATCCACCCCCTTGAAAACCAAACAACACCAATCCTAACACCCCCCAGGTAATCCACGCAGGCCTCTACTACGGCCCCACCTCCCTCAAAGCCCGTCTCTGCATCCGCGGCCGGCACCTCCTCTACGCCCTCTGCCGTGCCCACTCGATCCCCCACCACGCCTGCGGAAAATGGGTCGTCGCCCAGTCCCCCACCCAGCTCTCCGCCCTCGACTCCATGCACTCCCTCAGCACCACTCTCGGCGTGCCTACGCGTTTCCTCTCCGCCGCGGAGGCAAGGAGTAGGGAACCCGACGTCCGCGCTACGGCGGGCGTGCTCGAGAGCCCTGAGACGGGCATCGTGGATAGTCATGCGCTGATGGCGTTCCTGCTTGGTGATTTTGAAGAGAAGGGGGGCGTGTGTGCGGTTGGTAGCGACGTCGTTGGTGTTGTACCCCTGGATGGAGGAAAAGGGGGGTGGGAGGTTACGACGAGGTCTAGCTACAGCGATGGGACGGTGGAGGAGGGGACGGTGACGGCGGAAGTGGTTGTGAATTCGGGGGGGTTGGCGGCGATTGATATTTCGAATATGGTGATGCCTGAGGAGAGGAGACGGAAGGCGTTCTTCGCGAAGGGCACGTATTTCTCGTATGCGAAGGGTGCCCCGAAGCCAAAGGTGTTGGTTTATCCGGCTCCCGTGCCGGGGCATGGTGGGCTCGGGACGCATCTTACGCTTGATATGGGGGGGAGGGTGAGGTTCGGGCCGGATGTCGAGTGGACGGACGATCCGACGGATTATACGGTGTCGGCGAAGAATCTGGAGGCGGCGCTTGGGGAGATTGAGACGTATCTGCCGGGGATTGATAGGGAGGCTGTGGGGTTGGATTATGTGGGGATTAGGCCGAAGTTGGGGAGGTCGGGGGCGCTGGCGGGTGCGAAGGGAGGTGGATTTTTGGACTTTTATATTGAGAAGGAGGAGGGGTTTGAGGGGTTTGTCAATCTGTTGGGGATTGAGAGTCCTGGGTTGACCAGTTCGTTGGCGATTGCGGAGGAGGTGGAGAGGTTGTTGTATAAGTAGATGGATAATGTTTGTGAATTGTATATACATGGTTCAATGAACCTCAAATACCAATACGATATACCACCTTGTACTTCGAAGTCGGGTCGATTACCAAAATCTTTCATCCTCACGCAGTCGAACAAGTCAACCCAGACGCTAGAAGAATAGGCATCAGGAGACCGATACCTCAACCAGCAATAAACTTCGCCACAAAGCCCTCGAAGGCAAATGGTCGACTACGGTGACAATTGCATACACACACACACACCCACCAACCCAACAGAACCCCTCATCATTCACACTTACCCAACCTACAACAACATCACACACAACATCACACAAAACATCCACAATCACCAAACCATCAAATCCCAATCACCATTCCTCAAATTAAAAACACTACAGCTACCTAAAACCCTTCCCCCGCACAGCCTTTTCGTATGTTAAACCATCAATGTTTTGCTAAAGACCGAACCGCTCATGCTCCCGAATCCTCGCCTTGCGCCCCTGACGCAGCAGAGCGTAAAGAGCGAAGACACGAAGGGAGCATTCCATATCGTATGCAAAGTAAGCTGTAAAATTTAGCCTCCCTCCACCATGCCTTTCCACATTGCTTGACGCTCTCTGCACTGCATTTCTTTTGCCTCCCCTTGGTTCGGTAACGAGATTGATTTGAAGGGGTTTGAGAGCGTATACGCACCACATCGCAAGCCGCGGGAGATTGCGAGTCGAAGTACTTCCTGCCGTTGAGAGTCGTCAATGCAGGTAGGTAGGTAGGTGTACGCCACTGAGCGACTAAGTATGACGTTGACTTTCGATACTGCCCAAAGGGAGAATACTCTGTCGGATGGGGTTGCTTGGATAGCCGGCTAGACGGCACCAAGGTATGCACCGTGTACGCGATACAGTGGTCGAGTAGATATTGAATTTACTTCAGACCGGCATCGAGAATCAGGTCCTAATGGCGTAGTTGTATTAGTTGAATGTCTGAATGATGACGCGTGTGTGCTGTCTGGCGTTTTGTCGCAGGTGACACACGATTACGATAAAGTTGAAGTTGAGAAAGTCGAAAACATGAAGACATAGAGAGAAAGGTTGCCGTAGAAAAACCGTTGAGAGAAAAGGGGTATATGGAGGCGTTTGAGAGTTTAAGAAAATTTGAGAGAGAGAGAGAGAGAGAGAGAGAGAGAGAGAGAGAGAGAGAGAGAGAGAGAGAGAGAGA